ATTAGTCCTAGTTCTGTCTCCACCTTAGCCTTCCTTACAGCCCCCCTACAGTCTTGAGAAATATAATCCTCCTTGGAAGGGAGGGCCCATCACCATCAGGTGTATGCCTCCATTTTAGCTTTCAGACATTCCTGAATGCCTTTGGTGAGGCACGGGGGCTTTTGAGCACTCTTGCCCTCTTTGACTCATGTTGGGACTGTCACCCTTTGGGCTCAGAGGATAGTCTCCTTAAGGAACGACCACTCATCTTGGACTCCCAACTCCCCTACCCTCCAGGACCTCAGTGCCTCCCCGACTAATCTTCTTAACTTATGGAAGTCGGCCCTCCTGAAATCAAAGGCTGCTGCCTTGCTGCAGGCCTTTGACACCCTGCGCTGGACAGTGAATTCCAGTAGGTGATGATCGCTATTGCCCAGGTGGTCGATAACCCACAGTTCTGTCACCAAGCCATCGCCTGTGGCCAGAACAAGGTCCAGCAAGGCATTTCCCCTGGTGGGACTGTGTACCTTCTGGGTTAGGTGGAGGTCCTGGATCTTGGCTAGGAACCTACATGAACAGTCAGACTGCACCTCCCAGCAGATGTACAGGTAGTTTAGGTCACCCTTGATGACCACGTCCCTTGACCTAACTGCCTCCGCAAGCTAACCTGAGAATTCCTGGTCCATCAATGATAGTAGACACCCACCGTTAAGCCCCTTTCCTCCCGACCCCCTTGTATTCTAACCCAGAGCACTTCAGTCTGCCCCTCCTCTGATCCCGTGCTGTTTGTTGAGGATGTGTATTGCTCTTTGATGTAGAGTGCCTCACCCCACCTTTCCTCCCCGTTCTATCCCACCTAAAAAGTCTGTAGCCCTTGATGTTTATTGCCCAGTCATGGGTTGAATCCCACCAGGTTTCAGTGAGTCCACTTGAGTGGAAACGGAGTCCAATAAGTACGATGATTTTCCTTCTGTCAATACCTATGTTATGTTAGTATAGGTTTTTTGATGTATTAAAAGTCAGTTGTATGGTCATAGCCAGGGCCATCCCTAGTGGGGGTGAATCAGGGCGACTGCCCCGAGCTCCACGCTTTGTGAGGCCCTGTGGACAGTGCCATACAGGCCCCGCTGCAGCCACCACCCGCCGCCACTGAGAACTGCCAGCTATAGCTGGCAGCAGAAAGGGGAGGCTAACAGGGCTCAGTGCCCCCAAATGGAGGCAGCAGCAGAGATAGCCCTAGGCCACATGTGGGCTGTTGCAGTGGTGGGGCGGGGCAGACACACTCAGCTACCCTGCACTCGCAGCCAGCACCGCAGCTGGCCCAGCCACACACAGGCAAGTAAGTTTCTTTTAATCTTCCTTATCACCCTAGGCTTCTGGGGGGAAGGAGGATAGGTCAAGACCCCCATAGTGCAGGAGAGAGTGGGGAAGAGGAAGGGTAAATCATTCACTCCTGCCCCTGGCACCTCCCTGCTGCACTGTAGGGATTGTCCCAAGACCCAGCCCAGCCAGGGCCCCATTCACCATGACTGTGAACATGGGGACAGTCAGAGCCCAGCAGTTCATCCAGGGGTGTGGGTGGGCAGCTCCCACTGTTGCGTGTGCTGCGGGGAGCCAAGGTGGGGGGGAAGGGGAGTTCCACTCCCCTCCCAGCTCTCCCATGACAAGCCCCTAGGCAAGCCCCTGGGCTCCAATTGTCCCACAACTGGTCTGGCTAAGGCCCAATTCTCCTTGGCTGGGGCCCCAGCCAGGCCGGGTTGTGGGACAGTCAGAGCCCAGTGGCCCCTCCAGAGGTGCGGCACCAGGCAACCAAGTGAGAGGAGGGACGTGGCACCCCAAACTTTGCATGGGCAAGTGGGCCGCAGCTGCAAGCTGCTCTCTGCTCCGCATCTCACTGCCGCTCCTTTGAAAGCAGTGTGGCATGATGCCATGTGTCTCAATTCCTGGCCCTCCCAGTGGCAGAACACACATGATGGTGCCCGCTGCTTTTGAAGCAATGGCAACAGGGAGGTGTGGAGGCGCGGAGCCCTCCAGCTCGGCAGCGCAGCAGAGGCTGGCCCTGTTCTGGCCCCCGGCTTTCAGCCCACTCTGGGCGACGCACAGCTGGGGCTGGGGCAGGAAGGCAGCCAGGGCCAGGAGCCGGCTAGGGCCAGGGCTGGGATTGGTGTGTCCATGGCCGGGAGGCAGCCAGGGCCGGCACAGCACAGCACTGGGTAATGCTGCACCCCACTATGGCCTTTTCTCCTCCTCCCACTTTCCATGGTGGGGGCAGATATGCCTATGCATGTTCGCCCCCTACCCCCTGGTTTTTTCTTCCTCCGCCTATGCCACTTGCCACCCCTCCCCCCACTGGGCCCCATACAGGCTGGTATGCCCCAGTCCCCACACATCCCTAGGTACAGCTCTGGTCATAGCACATATGTATGGCTGTCTAGCCTTCTCTTTTAAAGCAATACCATCACCCAGCTACTGTGGTGTAGATGTACAGAAAATGCCTGAAACATCTAGTTCCAAATTGACCCAGGCAAATTGGCGGTGATGCTGATGCAGAAGGGTGCATCAGCATCACTGCCAATGGGAGTTTGAAAATCTTTTACATACTGCAGTCACCCACAATAGATTAATGTGTCAAGATGATCAATAGATTAATGTGTCAAGATGATTCCATGTAAGAGTCATACTGAGTCTGCATTACACTTGGAAACCTGGCTAAAACAGCAGCCAGAAACTCCTTTTTCGGTCTCCAGTTGGCCAAGGGTTGTGCCTGATGTACAAAAAGAAAAAGGCAGGATCCCATCATTCTGTGCTTCTCTAACTTCAGGCATGAACAACTTCAGTAGCTGTAGCCTATCACCTGGCAACAAGAGGTGTGAACATTATCATATCAGTATTCTGTGCCCTGGTTTCCAGTTCCATCTTTAGATATTCCTGGTTTGAAACCTAATTACATAAAAGACCATCTCAGTTTTTACAGCATAGGTATAATGCACCTACTGGTATGCAAAGCAAAGTTTCTCAGAGTGGAACACAACACATTCTTGGTAAAGAGAACTGTAGAACTGTTTGGTAAGGGTAATCAGGATGGTCTTACACCCTTTCTTCTTCAGAGCACAGTATAGGACTCAGAAACTAGCACACACATAACACCTTATCACTTGTGAATGCATAGGCTTCCCATGGCAGGGCAGAGAATGTAGTCCCTACTTAAGACCAGGGCCAGTCCAACCATTAGGCAAACTATGCGGTCACCTAGGGTGCCAAAATTTGGGGGGATGCCAAAATTATATGCAGAACAAAATAACAGGAACATCATTCTAAATAACAGGCCTGGCCAGCTACGGCTCCACCTTGATCTAAGACCTTTGGTTCAGTAAGGGGAGAAAGACCTCTGAAAAGATCTCAGAGGAAAGATCACTAGAATCATGACTCCTACCTTTTCAGCTCTCAAGTGGACATATGACAGGAGCATACCGCTGGCAATGTTATCCTAATTTCCCTCTATATTGGAAGTGGTGGGGGTGCCAAGGTACACAGTTTGCCTAGGGCGCTAATTAATTACCCTTGGACTGGTCCTATTTAAGATCATGCTGTAACTTAAACATTTCTGTATTTGGTACCTACTTATTTTGCTGAGTGACACAAGAGATTAGGGTGAAATGGCAGAACTCCCATTGACTTCATCTCTAGAAGGAAGTAATCCTAGAGGTTATCACTGAAAAAGGCAGTAACAGTGAGAGCTGTTCCAGTTGCTATTGCACCCTGTTCTGGAGCTGCCACTTGTAAAGGGTGAGAAGATAATTTAGCCTTCTGAGCTATTGGTCTCCAAGCTGAGAAAGGGAAATCAAAAAGTGCTTAGTTGGAACCAATCTAAACAAATTAAAAAGGAAATGAGGAGGATGCTTAAAATACCAGTCAAAAGAGAAGAACAAACCACTTTACTCAGGCATTGAAAATCAATCAAAATGAATGAATCCACCTTCTAAAAGGCACAGAAGTTGCCAATATAATATGTGTAATTGACTGAAGGGAAGTTAGTGCTCTAATAACCAACCTGAATAGAACTTCTCTGATAAAGAGCCAAAGCACAAGTGTAAACAGAGCACTCTCATCCCAGTGGAATAGATGGAAATGTCAGACAAGCGAGAGATCTGCCTACCCCCTGAAGTACTGGTGAATCCTTGCTTCAGAAGAACATAGTATGATCTGAAACTTCAGTGAGTTACAGGCTTTTGGCTGCCAGGGTCTCTTCCTTGTATTACATTTTGAATTTTTCTTTTACATTTTTTGCTCTGTTCGAGTTCTTTCTGAAGGAGATTTTCAAAATGTTGCTCATTCGGTTGTGTGATTGGAGCCTGCACCTGTTGAAATCAATTCAGTGTCCTCAGGACTGAAAACTGGGTCAGATCACTGATGGCTAATTCTGTGGGAATTGTATGCTGATTTGTTTTGATTAACTATCTTTCGAAGTGCCAAAAGAGATATCCTTCGATGTGGATACCTTCTAATGGAACTTCGATTACCAACCCATTTCATGTGTCAGGGAAAGGTATGAAATGTGTAACTTCCAGTTGTTATCAGCCCTGCTATATTTATGTTGGTTTGCTTCTGTTGTAACTAATGCGAGCGGTTTATGATTTCCTCCATATATAGCCAGGGGTAGCATGTTCTGAATACCTGGCTGTGGGGCTTTAAGTTAGATCCTTAACTCTGCTATTTGTATTTAATTTTACATAGCACTGAGCTGTTACCTTGCCCTGAGCTGTAGAAGATACTGCTATCCTTTCAGTTGCTTCTTTTTAGCACCCAGTCCTTGACTTGATAATCCTGAAGCCCCAAGCTTGGAAATCTGCTTCTGGCAGAACGAGATCTCTTCATCTTTGAGGTCACGTTCCAGGCTTTTGTTCACTCACAAGTTCTGTTGGGATTTATCTTTAGTGTGTCTGCTTGAATATTCAAAAAGTCATCAGCTAGTCTAATTTGTTTTTTTTAAAGTCATGTAAAAGACTGATTTGCTTTGACAGGTGGATCAGAAACAGAATTGGAGCTATTTTATCTGGACCTAATTAAACAACCGTCATTACTGGCAGGTATGTGTTTGTGATGACTTGAAATTAGCTTGATTGGAATTAAAACTCAAAATATAAGGCATTGAATTGGCTGGTTTTAAAAAATATGGTTTAAAAATACATTCTCTGCAGCACACTTTTAGATGTGGCAAGTGCATGTCTAAATTTTAAATCTCTCATCATGCCAAATTCCATTCGGTGTTTTACGTTAATGGCACTTATCACAGGTATTCATGAGGATATTACCGATGCTTATAAGTTTTCCCATGCTTGTTCAGGGCTAGAAAACTTTGATATGTACAAGCTTCAATAATGTTCTTATTTTTTTGT